ATCAATGTTGTGAGGACTCAGCATTGATTATATCTAAAAGGACATTTAGTTCTTTAAGTAGCTATATCTATTATTTAATGAGTAAGGCCCAGTTCAGCTCATTCTAGAACTCTCTCTCAGCCAAGTCCTGGGAAGAGGACAGGTGAGGCTGTTGGGAGAGGCTCACTCCAGGTCCTCTCTGCTCACTGGGGGGTCTACACTCTGCTAAGCCTAGGGGATGGGCATGAAAATCGGGGTTTTGCTTTTGAATGATTTCTATTTGTTCATTTGTTTTGTGTGTGTGTGTGTGTGTGTGTGTGTGTGTGTGTGTGTGCTGTTGTGTTGTTGCTGCTGCTGCTGCTGCAGCTGCATTTTGAGACAGGATCTCATGTAGTCCAGGTTGGTCTTGAACTTACTTCGTTCCTAAGGATGACCTTGAACTACTATTTCTGTTTCTTTTACCTCCCCAGTATTGAGATTGTAGATGTATACCATCATGCCTGGCTGGAGCTTCTATTATTTTTCTTAGTTAAATTCATGTGTGTGGCTGTTTTACTTGTATGTATGTTTGTGCACCATGCAACGTGCCTAGTGTCCACCAAGGCCAGAAAAGGGTGTTGGAGCCCTGAAACTGGCGTTACAGTTAAGAGCTGTCTCATGGGTGCTGAGAACGGAACCAGGGTCCTCAGGTTCTTAACTGCTGGGCCGTCTCTCCATCCCTAGAACTTCTATTCTTAAAGAGGGTGAAGGTGAGATTCCCAGGGAAGGTAGAAAACTAAACCAATGTGCCAAGAGGGAGGAACCTTGAGGCTGGAGCTCCTGAGGTATGTCCCTCTTTCTGGTCACAGGTATCGAAGAACATGATGGCATCTTCTCAGCATAGTGGGCCGTGGAGTGAGAACTCCCTTTCCAGAGGATTGGAAAGCAGGTGGAGGAAAGCAAGGCCAGCTGGTTCAGCTGTAGTGACAGGAAAGCTGGGACACAATCAAACCTGTCCCCTTGACTCATAATAGTCCCCTGAGCCATCCTTTATGGAATGTGTGTCAGGTGTGGGTCTCTAGCTGTGGAAACAGACTTCTTTTGGGGGCCTTGTCTCACATTTTGGCTTAGGCTGGCCTGGAACTTACTCTGTAGCCCTAGGTGGGACTCAAACTCATGCCAGTCCCTCTGCCTTAGACTCTGAAGTGCTGGGATTGCAGCAAGGGTGGCCATGCTCAGCTCTGAGATGGTTTGCACGTGACATCCCACAATAGTTGGGGACAGGGTTGGTCTCAAAAAACACTATGCTTTTGTCAAATCCACACAGCAGGAAGTCTGGAGATGTGAGTCAGGATTTGGTGAAAGGTGTCTATTGGTGTTAGAACACAGACTTTTTGAACTGGAGAGGTGGCTTAGCAGCTAAGAGCATGTGCTGCTCCCCAAGAGTTCTGAGTTCAATTCCCAGCACCCACATTGAGCAATTCACAACTCCCTGTAACTCCAGTTTCAGGGAATCCAACCCCTGCACCCACATGTATCTTTAAATAAACTTTTAAAAAACTTCAGCTTTTTCTTTTCTCTTTCTGCCATGCCATGTTAACTCAGTTGGAAGACTCATTGCCTAATGGTCTCAAGATGGCTGCCATGGACCCTTCTACAATTTTACTCAGGGCACAAAGGGGAAGGCCCAGGAGAAAGTGGACCATATCACTTACCAGGAAAGACAGGCATTTCTCAGAGGCCCTGGAATGCCTTCTTCAGCTTTCTCACTAGCCAGAGCAGAGAGGAAAGCTAAAGGAGGCTGGGAAGACTGGCAGGTGGGAACAGGGTGTATGTGAGTATTTAAGAAGATTTCTCCTGCACCTGGGTGCATGGTCAACTGGACAGGTGGTGATTCTGGTGGCATGCAGAAAGGCATGGTAATAACAGCTGCTGAGTAGGAGTGATGTCTGCCCCGCATGTGGTAAGAGCAAAGATAAGCCTAGGGTTCAAAGGAAACCTAGGAGAATTGAGTCAGCCTGATGGGGGTGGGGTTCGGGGAAACTTTCTTGGAAAAGATGACCAACCCCAAGCAAGGTCCCGGGCACTCTTAACAAGGCCAGTTGATGGACAGCAGAGTCAAAAGCTGAGAGCCGTGATAAACACAGCGAGCTAGGAAACGTGTGTGATGGATCGTTAAAGCGGGGAAGCAGAGAGATGGAGAGTGTGGCATGTGGAACGGATGAAAGGCGTAGGTGAAGAGCCTGGGGGGAGCTGATTTTGTTTGGTTGGTTTTGAGACAGGATCTCGTATAGTCTGGGTTGACTTCAAATTCCATGTATTGCTTAGCCTGACCTTGAACCCCTGACCCCCTGCTTCTCTTTAGCACTGGGATTACAAGCATACACCGCACACCTGACCAACCGTTGCGTTTTACCCTGTGTTGTTCTAGATGGGTTCCGGCCCAGGAGGGGTGGAGTTCACTGTGCATTAAAGACAGCTGGCTTCATGCTGGAGGGGTGAGCTGTGAGGGTTGCAGGCTCAAGAGGGAGTCCAGCCAAACGGTCCCTTTGGTCTCTACGTGAGAGCTGCCGAGGGTCTGGAGAACGACTTTCCAAAGTCAGCTGCCGGTGTTTTGATACCAATATAGGCAGGATTCCAAGGCACAGACCCCTGGGAGAGACAGATGTCTAAAGAGGGCCGAGGTACTCTAAAGAATGCACATCCAACTGTGCAATCACATACAGGATACTCTGTGCCTCAGTGATGAAGAAAGAGGTGGCCAACGACATCTGAGTGGCAGGGATTCTTAGTCAGACTGTGTGAAAATGACTTGAACAGAGAGAGACTGTCCTGGCTGGCTTTATGTCAATTCGACACAGTCTTGAGTTATCTGAGAGGAGGGAACCTCAATTATGAAAATGCCTCTATAAGACTGGGCTGTAGCCAGGTGGTGGTGCATGCCCTTAATCCCAGCAGTCGGGAGGCAGAGGCAGGAGGATCTCTGTGAGTTTGAGGGCAGCCTGGTCTACAAGAGCTAGTTCCAGGACAGGCTCCAAAGCCACAGAGAAACCCTGTCTTGAAAAACAAAAACAATAACAATAAAATAAAATGAAGAAAAAAGATCGGGCTGTAGGCAAGTCTGGAGCACATTTTCTTAGTTAGATGAGGCTCAGCCCACCGTGGGTGGTGCTGTTCCCGGTCTGGTGGTCCTGGGTCCTGTAAGAAAGTAGGCTGAGCAAGCCATGGGAACAAGCAGTACCCTCCATGATTTCTGCATCAATGCCTCCTGTCTCCAGGATCCAGCCCTGCATCATCTCCTATCCTGACTTTATTTAATGATGAACAGGGATGTGGAAGTTTAAGCCAAATGAACCCTTTCCTCCCCAACTTGCTTTGGTCATTGTGTTCCATCACAGCAATACTGACCCCACTAAGAGACAGACATGAAACATGAGATGTTTGTGTACAAAGGAAACTCCCGAGCAGGTCTTCCCGGTCCACTTGGTCCCCTCTGAGGAACCTGGGAAACTGGAGAGGAGAAGATGGGATTCAGAGTTTTAAAACTAGGAGGCTGGGATGTGCAGTCCTGGGCAAGGAGCCTTTTGGCTTGGGATAGGAGTGACTGGGGAGCAGGCAGAAAAGAAGGAGGCACTGGAGGACTGCACAGAGTCACCCCGAGTAGTGTGAGAGCAATTCAGGAACCAGGGCATTGAGAAACGGGCAACTGATGTCCACAGAGCAGAACCCACGAAGTATAAGGGCACACTGGGAGGTGCCCTGCCACCCTGTGGTCCCTGTCCTCACTCCAGAGGTGGCGATGCTTCTACATGTATTTGTTAGCTTGTTTTTATTTGTTTGTTTGTTTGAGACAGGGTCTTGCTATGTAGGCCAGGCTCAATTTGACCCCCAACTTCTAGATCTGCCTCCCAAGTGCTGGGATTGTATCCCATGGACCCGGGTGTGTGTGTGTGTGTGTGTGTGTGTGTGTGTGTGTGTGTGTGTGTGTGTGTGTAGATAATGTCAGGGCCTAGTTACATAATCCAAGCTAGCCTGGAACTTAGGGTCTCCCAGGCCCCCCCAGGCCCCCACCCCCCATGTGCTGCAATCACAGGCGAGCCACTGCACAGCTGGCCTCACTTGCCTTTGAGAGAGAACAACTGTAGCGCATCTTACATCTTCCTTGTCTTCTACTGTGTGTCTTCCAGGTTCTGAACTAGAAGTGGGTGTGGTGCCACCCCAGCTTTAGTGCCTGTGGGGGACACTCTGGCATGGATGCCCCACCATTTATCCAGTCAGCTACCAGCAGTGTTTAGCCTGACCTTCTCAAGACCTTGTACTGATATGATGCTTGCCTTGTGTGTACATTGTGTGTGTGTGTGTGTGTGTGTGTGTGTACACGTGTGCATGTACATGCACGCATATGTGTGCATTCATGTGCATGTTTGCAAGCATGCTTATGGCTGTGTGTATGTGTATTTATGTGTGCTGCGCACTGTGTGCCTGTGTTTATGTGTGAACTTGCTTGTGGCAGCCAGACATCAATGCTAGCTGTCTTCTTCAACCTCTCCTCACCTCATTTATTTATTTATTGAAACAGGGTCTTTCACTGAACCTGGAGCCCACTGATTGGCAGATTAGTTGGCCAGTAAGTTCTGACTGTCAGCAGTAAGGATCTGCTTACTTCTACATCTTCCACCTCTAACATCAGGATTACAGATGTCCTGGCCTTTTTGTATGTGCTAGGGACCCATACTCAGAGCCTCATGCTTGCTAAGCCATTCCCCAGTTCCCAGGCATTTGATATACATGTCAACCCAAAGTACAGTTGTTGATGCTAGGAATAGATGCATGCTCAATTTTCATAAATACCAAATTTCATAGGCTTTGGGCTCATTTTTTTTTAATCTTAAATGTCTGAGAAGGTCTATTTGCTTGGCTCTTTGCTAATGCTGTGTTCACCAGTGAAGGAGTGAAAGCAAGGAAGAGAAGGAGCCAGAGGTCACCTGTACCCTTTCCAACACTAAAGGGCAGAGGAGTAAGACAGAAGCAGCCAGGTGCTGATGGGGGAGCGAGAGGACAACCAGGAGACATGTGACCTGGAAGCCGTGTGAGTAGGGATGCCCATCTGAGACAAGAGGCTCCCGATCCCAGTGCCCAGCACCACAAACCTCCAACAAGATCAAGGCCCAGAAGAACCATTACAGAGGCTATAATGGCCCCAGTGATACCAGAGGGCGTTCTTCAGGCCTCCTGTGCCCGAGTGACCAGCGGGAGGGATAGAGGTCCTTAGGGTGGAAGATTTGGAGACTCACTGACCACTCCTTGCATTGGTGGTGACGTAAACATCTGCTGTTACAATGACAACCACAGGTAAGGTTAATAGGTAAGGTTAAGGTCATATCTGGCATGAGGGAAGGAACTGTTCAGCATTTAGCACGTCCATACAAGGAGAATGAGGCTCAGCCAGGGCAAGGGGACACAGCAGATTCAGGAGGCTAGGAAGGAGAAAGAGCTAGAATTCTTGTGTGAATGCTTCTTAATTTTAAGACCATATCGTTCCTAGGCATGAAGGGCCAGAGCTTGTTTGTGTGGCTAAAAATGATGAGACAAGAGTCACAGATGTAAAGACAGAGCCTTTAACATGCATGAGTCCCTAAGTTCAGTCCTCAACAATGGGTTCCCACAACTCCAATTGGAGATGCAAGGCAGAGAACCCCAGCCCTTTGAAAGCCTGAGGCCAGCCAGCCAGTCTGGTGTACACAGCGGCAGATCACAAGAGACTTGTGTCAAGTTGGAAGGTGAGGAGCAACATCTGAGGTCTTCTGACTCCCACATGTGTGTCAGCAAGACGGCTTATACCTTAAGGACATGGGTTCAATTCCTGGAGCCCACGTGGTAAAAGGAGAGGATCAACTCCCTCAAGCTGGCCTGTGACCTCTACACATGCATCTAACCAAAGAACAATAGTTTAAGTTCAGGGGAAAACCTTTAAACCAAAGGAATAAGGTAGGAAGAGATGGAAGATACCCAATGCTCCCACCCCCACAATACTTTAAAATTTTAAGTCATGCAATGGTGCATACCTTTAATCCTAGCATGTGGGAAGCAAAAGTAGGTGCAGCCTGGGCTGCACAGAGAAACCCTGTCTCAAAAAAAAGAGAGAGACAGAGACAGAGAGACAGACAGAGACAGAGACTGGCTCCAGGGCACTAGCCTTTCATCCCAGCACCCAGGAGGTAGAGGCAGGCGGATCTCTGTGAGTTCAAGGGCAGCCTGGGCCACAGCGTGAGACCTGTCTTCAAAAAAGAAGACAACCCCAAAACAACAAAACCCTGGAGTGGGTGAGGCTGGTTGAATGGAATTGGTAAGGAAGGAGACCCCAGCATTTCTTACATTTGTGGGTTCTTCACCCTGTTTTGTTCCTCGTTAGTGTGACAAGATATTCCTCAAAGAGGCATGGCCCCCTGCCTTGCTGCCTCAGAAGACCACCGGATTTAAACAATCACTTCTGCGCAAAGCTGTGAGGCTTCTAAGTGGTGGGCCCTGAGGGCTTGGTGTTTCTTCAGCTAACTGATCACTTCCAGGGAGAGAGCATGAGCGGTCAGCTCTATCCCCCACATCTCCTCCCATGCAGGGCACCCCCCCCGGGGCACCCCATCCCCCGGGGCTCCCCACCTCCCGGGGCTCCCCACCCCCCGGGACTCCCCACCTCCCGGGACACCCCACCTCCCGGGACACCCCACCTCCCGGGACACCCCACCCCCCGGGACACCCCACCTCCCGGGACACCCCACCTCCCAGGGCACCCCCCCCCGGGGCTCTCAGTTTAGTGGCAAGGAGTGGGAAGGGTGCAGCCTTCAAGATAGAGTTCCTGTAGCATTCGTAGTCTGTTCGACAGACCCACAGTGTGAACCCTGTCCAGCAGATCCACAGTGTGAACCCTGTCCAGCAGATCCACAGTGTGAACCCTGTCCAGCAGATCCACAGTGTGAACCCTGTCCAGCAGATCCACAGTGTGAACCCTGTCCAGCAGATCCACAGTGTGAGCCCTGTCCAACAGACCCACAGTGTGAACCCTGTCCAACAGACCCATAGTGTGAACCCTGTCCAACAGACCCACAGTGTGAACCCTGTCCAGCAGATCCACAGTGTGAACCCTGTCCAGCAGATCCACAGTGTGAACCCTGTCCAGCAGATCCACAGTGTGAACCCTGTCCAGCAGATCCACAGTGTGAGCCCTGTCCAGCAGATCCACAGTGTGAGCCCTGTCCAGCAGATCCACAGTGTGAACCCTGTTTAGCAGATCCACAGTGTGAACCCTGTTCAGCAGATCCACAGTGTGAACCCTGTTCAGCAGATCCACAGTGTGAACCCTGTTCAGCAGATCCACAGTGTGAACCCTGTCCAACAGACCCATAGTGTGAACCCTGTCCAACAGATCCACAGTGTGAACCCTGTCCAACAGACCCATAGTGTGAACCCTGTCCAACAGACCCACAGTGTGAACCCTGTCCAACAGACCCACAGGGTGAGACACATCTATGTTAATGTTGCTAGGATCCATATAAGGTTGACTGTAAGGCTGAGTTTTGTGGCCGTGTTCGAGTGTGCATTGAGCTTGCACAAGGTTCTAGATGTAGTCCCAGCCCCAGAAAAAAGCAAAACTAAACCAACACCCCTGAAAAACATAAAAGGAACAACTGAACAGTTTGTTTTTTAAATGAAATTGATATAACTCATGTGTGGGTGTGTGTGCGTGTGTGTGTGTGTGTGTGTGTGTGTGTAAGTGCAAGCTTGGGTAAGTGTATGGAGGTCTGGGAAGGTGCTGAGCCTCCTCCTCCTCTTCCTCCTGTTCCTCCTTTTTCTCTCTTTCTTGTTTGAAACAGGGTCTCGCCAGGTAGCTCTGGTTGTTCTGGAACTGGCAGATTGGATTAGAGGTATATACCACCATGCCCTACTGTGTGTATACCGCCAGGCCCTACTGTGTGTATACCGCCAGGCCCTATTGTGTGTACACCGCCATGCCCTACTGTGTGTACACCGCCATGCCCTACTGTGTGTATACCGCCAGGCCCTACTGTGTGTACACCGCCATGCCCTACTGTGTGTATACCGCCATGCCCTACTGTGTGTATACCGCCATGCCCTACTGTGTGTATACCGCCAGGCCCTACTGTGTGTACACCACCATGCCCTACTGTGTATATACCGCCATGCCCTACTGTGTGTATACCGCCATGCCCTACTGTGTGTACACCGCCAGGCCCTACTGTGTGTACACCGCCAGGCCCTACTGTGTGTATACCGCCAGGCCCTACTGTGTATACACCGCTATGCCCTACTGTGTGTATACCGCCATGCCCTACTGTGTGTATACCGCCAGGCCCTACTGTGTGTACACCACCATGCCCTACTGTGTATATACCGCCATGCCCTACTGTGTGTATACCGCCATGCCCTACTGTGTGTACACCGCCAGGCCCTACTGTGTGTACACCGCCATGCCCTACTGTGTGTATACCGCCATGCCCTACTGTGTGTATACCGCCAGGCCCTACTGTGTGTATACCGCCATGCCCTACTGTGTGTACACCGCCAGGCCCTACTGTGTGTATACCGCCAGGCCCTACTGTGTGTACACCGCCATGCCCTACTGTGTGTATACCGCCAGGCCCTACTGTGTGTACACCACCATGCCCTACTGTGTATATACCGCCATGCCCTACTGTGTGTACACCGCCAGGCCCTACTGTGTGTATACCGCCAGGCCCTACTGTGTGTATACCGCCATGCCCTACTGTGTGTACACCGCCATGCCCTACTGTGTGTACACCGCCATGCCCTACTGTGTATATACCACCATGCCCTACTGTATTTATCCACCAGGCCCTACTGTGTGTCCTCTTCTGTCTCTCCCTCCTTATTCCTTTGAATTAGAGTCTCTCCCTGATTCTGGAACTCTATGTTTTGGCCTGTAGCCAGCTAGTCCGATTTATTCTCGTGTCTCCACTCCCCACAGGGTCAGGGTGGCAGGCAAGTATGAGACCATGCCGAGCTCTTCGTGTAGCTGCTGGGATATGAACTCAGGTCCTCATGGTCCTTTTAGCCACTGGCCATCTCTCCAGTGCCAAGTGGACTTAGTTTTAAGGTGTTATACGTTCATCTCACGTAACATACAAAGTGTCTTCATTTCAGCCGATGGTATTTGATATTCGAAGACTTATGGAGCTCATCTTTGTTAATTTTCATGGATGACCTCCCACCGTGATGTGCTTGTTTCATCAGACCACATCTCCATGTGTGATAGGGACCTGGCTGTTATCTGTGTCATTATCTGTGTCCCATGCTCATAGAGCTGGATCTGCTGCTGAGGGCAGGGCCTTGATGCTGCTGGTCTGCGCCATTGCCATTGGTACCGGTCTGGCTCTGGAAGGGACTTCAGGAGATCAAGGAGGCAATGTGCTGTGTGTGCACTTATGTGTAGGAGGGTGGCCAAAGCCTATGTGCACCCGTGTTTTGAAGCTGTGGTAAATATTAACAAGGCAGTGGGAGCCAGGCCCTCTGGGAGGCCTAGGCTCCCCGGTGGGGAGGAAAGGAGATAAAGCTGTGTACCTTAGATAGGGCTTTCAACCCGGCCTCCGAAGCTGTAGCACCCAGGCTGCCAGGGACACACGGGCATGACTCCTGTTCCCAGAACCAAGATGCCTCACCTTGCCGGGAGATTCTCAGAACTCCCAGACCGCAGAAGGACCACTTGGCCTTTTTGTTTGCGGCGCCTCACCCGGCTTCTCCAAGGCCCCTCCTCATGGCCCACAATCTTCACCTGCATAGCTCCCATCTCCACATTCCCTTCCCCAAGGGCACAGCTCATCCAAACTTGAGGGCCCAGGAAATGGATTTCATTAAAAAACAAACAAACCCCTTCCCATTAGGGTTGGGAGATGTGGCTCAGGTGGCAGAGTACAAGTCTAGTGTGCACAAAACCGTGGTTCATTCTCAAGCACTTCCGAGGCTGGGCATGGTGGCGCATGTCCACAATCCTGGCATTTGGGAGGTAGGAGCAAGAGGATCAGAAGTTCAAGGGAATTCTCTGTTACACTGTGAGTTGGAGGCTAGCCTGAGCTACATAGGAAAGCTCCGTCTTTTAAGTGCTTGTGGTGTTGGCTGCCCCTTCCCTCTTAACACCAAGCAGCCACGATGGTTGCAGGTTTGAGTATCAGAAGGCTCGCCCCAGAACAGCTACAGACACACACACAACTGAATGTATTCCTACGCTCTTGAAGCTCTCGCTCTCTCTGAGAAGGGAAAGTAAGAATGTTGCAGGTACTTGCATAAACAAATATTGCAAAGACACAGAGAAACCAAAACGATTGCGTACATAGTGGCAGAAGAGGGAGGGACAGGGCGTGCTGGGAAGGAAACATTCTCAGGGTTTATTAACCTTGAGATTGAGCAGTGCAGATACAGTATCGAGTTTAAAAAAAAAAAAAAAACAGGTGAGACAAAATTTCAATTGTTTCCTTCCTTTTCCTGGTAGATGTGGAGTAGTCGCACATTTTGCTCAGTGTGAGAGCTTCGATACTGAGTGATCCCCAGAATGCGTGTGGGCTCGGTTTGCCAAGCAGAGCATCGATTTATGTGGCGGCGGGGAAAGTGAGTTCTTTCTAGGCACAGTTTAGGAGCGCTTTTTAACTCTTCTGTTTATCCTCTGGTTTCCAGTCTGATAAGAAAAACCAATTTCTATTACTTAGCGCCCAGCCTGAAGTAGGGACATGAGTCCTCTAGAACCTCAGTCTAAGGGACCTGGCTGGTCCTTAGGGAGGTGCCCATGTCCTCACAGGGTAGTCCTAAACCCCACCCCTGTGGACCAGGTGGCGTTAATGGGGGTCTCCCGGGTGTTCTGACCCACCACTTCTGCGCCAGTCCTGCCTCTCCCGTCCCAACCCTGGAAACTTCTTTATCCCTCGCTCGGTATGCAAACACTTGAGTGTTTTACTTGAGCGCTATATCAGGTCCCCAGAACCTTTACTGCCAGCCTCCTCTAGAACCAGAGAATGTGTGTCTTGAGGGTCTAAGGAGAGTTGTGTATCCTTGCTAACAAGTCATGACACGCTTGTATCTGCCACTCAGACTTCGGCCTCCGTGACGTGGACGAGGTGAGGCCTGTGGGTCAGGGGGCATAGCACCCAGGGGGCTGCCCCGACAGCCGGTGTAATTGAGTGAACATTGGAGCAATGGATTGGACTCAGAAGGCTGTTTCGCTTTGCCTCGGGCATGATATTCAGGTTGTCTGCCCTAAGATGGGCAGAGGACAGATGGGAAGCCTCTGGTCGTTCTTAGAGTTTCTGAGGTCATTGACCCAGGAAAGCAGGGCGTGTCTGGGTGGAGCAGGCCAGGACACACACTGGATTGTGTTTGTTTCCTTCTGCCCAGAGGACACTACTCTCAGCTGCATGGAGGGCTCAGTCATGGCTTCCTTGGTACCCTGAGGGGCGGCAGATGTCTTCCTGGCAAGCCTGTCCCCACTAGGACCAGCCTTGGCGTCTACAGCCTTCATCCTGTCCCCTCCCAGCTGGAGACACCCGCTCTGAGGGTGCCTGGAGATAGGGAAGGGTGAGAGGCACCCTGTGGAGGGTTTTCAAGAAGCTGCCTTGCTGAGGGTCAATATTTGTTCAGCTCTTGGGCTGGGGCGGCCCATCACTACCTGTTGCCCCTCACATTCCGACCATCGCACCCCTATCTCAGGAACGTGTTCCCATCGACTTGGGGAACCACGCCTGACCTTGGCAGTGGTCTGCTGTCCTCCTTCATTCCCAGACTGGAAACTGGCCCCAGGAGAGAGATGGAGAGAAGAAAGCCCCAGCCAAGCCCCAGCCTCCTGTTCTGCTGCCAAGGGGGTGGGGACCTTGGCAGAGTCCCACCTGGGTCTCCACTGACATCAGAGTTTTAGTTCAGCAAACACTTCCTAGGTGCCCACCTCATTCCTGAGAAGATGGAAAAAGAAAAGGGCGGTGCATGTAGCTCAGGGGTAGAGCACTTGCATGTGTGAGGAGGGTCTGGGTTCCGTCCTAGGACAGAGTAAAACCTGATGTGGGGGATGATGGCCTGTAAGTGTCTATACCGGGGAGCTAGAGGCAGGAGGATCAGAGTTCCAGGACATTCTCAGCTATGTAGTGAGTCGGGATAACCTAGGCTACCGTATTCCTCCCCAGACTCCAGAGTTAACTAAAAAGGTTTATATACCTTTTCACTTTTAGCTTATAAGAAGCTCAAAAAGCAACAGTTTGTAGTTCATTTTTAAAGTTGTTTTAAAATCATATGTATACACAATGTGTGTGTGTATACATGGGCGTGTGTACATGATGTGTGTGTGTACACATGGGCGTGAGTATGTATACAGGGTGCGTGTGTATGTGCGTGTGTGTGCATGTGTGTATGTGTGTGTGCGTGCGTGTATGTATGCATGGTCTGTGTGTATGTGTGCGTGTACACATGTGTATATGTGTGTGCACACATGTGTATATGTGTATAAACGTGTGTGCATATATGTGTGTGTGTTGTCTGTACTTTTATGTGCGTTCCAGGGATCAACTCGGACTGTGCAGCAAGAACCTTTACCTGCTGAACACTCTTACCAGCACACGGGACACAACATATCTAGTAGATCTGAAACAGAGGGCACATGTTCAATGACTTATTTATTGAGACAGGGTCTTCCTAGATAGCTCTGACTGATGGAGAACTTACTATGTAGATCAGGCTGGCCTTTGCCTCCTGAGTGCTGGCAGTAAAGGACCGTGCCCCAGTCTTGTCTCCAGAGACTTCTCTTGCTGGAATCAAATCACTTGCAGTGAACACATGGCATGGACATGACCAGAACCACCTGTCTCTCTTTCCCTTTGAAGGATGACCTCGTGCTTTTGGAATTCAGCATCTTGTGTATTAAGCTCCATCCCTGCCTTTTACTCATTGGACAGGGCAATCTCATTTCTTGAGGTTAGCTTGGAAGTAAGAGTATGAAGGCAGAGATGAACCCCAGCGAGGGACCAGCCATACCTCCCCCCTTGCCCCTGAGAGTATCCGGAGCCCTTGACTTTGCCCATTACCTCACTTACTTCTTGTTCAAAGGTGGAGAATTTATCAGGGCAAGTTCATCCCAGGCTCTTGAACTTTTCCCACCCCTCCCCTACTTTCTTGAGGGAAGGCATGAAAATTTAAATTTCTATTTTTTTACAGAAAGGAATTTTTTTCCTTCACAAAAGGTAATGCCCTTTGCACACAGCTCTGTCTTGTCTCATTGCTCTTTCTAGAAAAACTTTTTCTAAACAAGATTGTGCTGGTCCTTTTTTACTGCTGCGTAGTATTTCATCACATGGTTGATTCATCATCCATTATTTATTCAACTCAACTTTTGAGTTAGGTAATTTCCTGCTGTAGCTTTGCAAACAGTGCCATGATAAGTTTCAGATATGCGTCATTTATTACATACAGAGTGTAGTTGCAGAATCCATTCTTGGACTTGGGATCATTACTAAAGGACCTATGTGTTAGTAATTTTTGATACATACTGCCAAGTTGTCTTGCACCAAGATTTTAGCAATTAATCCTCCACCAACAATGAATGAAGGTGATTATTCTTCTAAAGCATGGCCAAGGGAGTGTGTTAGCATGTCTGTTATTTGTCTACTATTTCTAATTTGTGCATGCTTCTGTTTACAGTTTAGTTGGCTGTGGGGAGTGAAGTATTGTGTCAGAGAAGGCTTCCCTAGGGCTAAGTGGGGACACAACTCAAACTTCTTGCTTTATTAATGTGTCCCTGGACAGCTAGGAGGAGAGAAAGTCTGGCGTCCATGGGATCTTCCAAATTTAGAGGTGAATAGGAAGGCGGAGTTTCACTCTGTCTGTAACCCATGCTCTGAGGGCCAGTTCATCAGCTAAGAGTGCTCTGTGAGGGCGTCACCAGGACCCTGAGAACTCTTCCCAGGGAGATGGTCTCTGAGATGTAATGGCCTCCAAACCTCAAAAACTTTTGCCATAAAAATACCACAACAAAAGCAACTTAAGGAAAAGAAGGGATTATTCTGCCACATTGATCAAGATTTAGTCCACCGCAGCAGGGCAGTCAGCAGTAACTTCAGACATCTGGTCACCTCACATCCACAGTCCAGAGCATGGGACAATGGATGCTCATGCATGCTAGTGCCCAGCTCCAGATACACAGTCTGTATCCCCTGTCCAAGGAAGAGTCCTCCCCACATTAAGATTAGTGCTCCCCACGTCAGCACAAGATAATTACTCCTGGGCATGCCCAGAGGTCTGTCTCAGCTGATTCTATTTGCTGTAAAGTGCAGACACTCCCATCACAGCCTTTCTTCTAGGCTCGTCCCTGTGAATCTGAAGGCTCACAGAGGGAGGGACCCCTGTTGAACACTCTGGAATTGGAGCATCCCAGAATCTCTTAGGCCCAGAGACCCTGCAGAAGAGGAGACTGGTTCCTAGGCTATGTCCTTCGTCCCTTCCCCCACTTCTTGTTGTTTAAGACAGGGTTTCTCTGTGAAACAGTCCTGGCTGTCCTGGAACTTGCTCTGTAGACAAGGCTGGCCTCGAACTCACAGAGATCTGCCTGCCTCTGCCTCTGGGGTGCTGGGATTGAAGGCATGCACCACCAATGCCCAGCTCCCTCTCTTTGTAGAGGCTCATTCCCCTAAGGAGAAGCCTGAGGTCATCGCTGCGACAAACATCGGGGTCAAGAGCAGCGTGGGGATAAAAGGGTTTATTTTAGCTTACAGATGTTGTCCATCATCAAGGGAGAGCAGGACTGGAACCCGGGAAGAAGTACCAAAGCAGATACCTCGGAGCTGTTTACTGCTCTGCTCCCCATGGCTCGCTCAGGCTGCTTCTTATACCATCCCGAACCACATGCCCAGAAGTGCCACTGCCCACGGTGGGCTGGGCCCCCACATCAATCATTAGTCAAGAAAACGTCCCACAGATGTGTCTGTCTATAGGCCAATCTGATGAAGACTACTGCTCAGTTGAGTCATCCTCTTCCCAAAGGCATCCAAGTGTCAAGTTGACCAAAACAAATGAGCACGGTGGGTAAAGATGCTTTGTCGCCAAACTGATGGCCCAAGTTTGATCCCCACGTCCAGACAGAGGGAAAGAGCTGATTTACACAAGCCCCCTCAACCTCCACACATGCACCATTCTACACAAGCCGCCCAACCTTCACACATGCACCATTTACACAAGCTGCCCAACCTTCACACATGCACCATTTACACAAGCCGCCCAACCTTCACACATGAACCACTCTACACAAGCCGCCCAACCTTCACACATGAACCATTCTACACAAGCCCCCCAACCTTCACACATGAACCATTCTACACAAGCCCCCCAACCTTCACACATGAACCACTCTACACAAGCCGCCCAACCTTCACACATGAACCACTCTATACAAGCCGCCCAACCTTCACACATGCACCACTCTACACAAGCCGCCCAACCTTCACACATGAACCATTCTACACAAGCCCCCCAACCTTCACACATGAACCATTCTACACAAGCCGCCCAACCTTCACACATGAACCACTCTATACAAGCCGCCCAACCTTCACACATGCACCACTCTACACAAGCCGCCCAACCTTCACATATGAACCACTCTACACAAGCCGCCCAACCTTCACACATGAACCATTCTACACAAGCCCCCCAACCTTCACACATGAACCATTCTACACAAGCCGCCCAACCTTCACACATGCACCATTTACACAAGCCACCCAACCTTCACACATGAACCACTCTACACAAGCTGCCCAACCTTCACACATGAACCACTCTACACAAGCCGCCCAACCTTCACACATGCACCATGGCACCCAAGTTCCCCTTCCCTGAAACAAGGAAGGATGTTAAAACAAAAAAACCCACCTGAACAGAAGAAGTCTTAGGATCCAGATCAGTTACTGGAGAGCTGGGGAAACTGAATTATGGAGAAAAGACTCACCTGAGGGCCCCCAACCAGCAGATGGCAAAATATGAGTGGTAGCTGGTCCCCTAGGCCTACCTCTGTGGGTGGACAGTAGGGCTCCTCCAGCTGGATAATAAGATGGGGCTTTGCCTCCAGCCTCAAAACAGATTCAACTCCCTCTGCCATCCACTCTGGCTTGACAAGGTTGCTGCTGCCCCTGCCATCACAGCCCACATTTGGCCAGCTCAGGCAGGACCCCCAGAGGCTGGGATGGACAGAGGGGTCCAGTCTTGACGTGTCCAGATTGGTCTCTTGTCTGCCTTTAATAGCACTGGGTGATCAGTGGTGCCTGGGTGAGAACCCCTGCCCCCCTTGTGGGGGGGGGGAGAAGAGAGGGCAGGCAGAGACATGGCTTTCCCAGAAATCAACCCAACCCCTTGAACGTCTTAGGAGAGATCTTAATGAGGATTGCTCCAAAGGGTGAGATCAGGGTTCCCTTCTCTGCAAACACAGGGAATTTCTGAGAGGCCCCTCCCCCCAGATTGGAAGCTTCCTATCTGACAGGACTCCCGGGAAAAGGAAGCTACAGGAGGTATCTGGCAGGGCTGGGGTAAGACGGGGCCACTCGGCACTTCCTTGTTGCCCTCCTCCCAGCCCCCACTTCACACATTTTTCCTTCCACCCATAGTTCCATCTCCGGCCCTGTCCGTCTGCCTACATTTCCACCACCCCCCACTCACCTTGAATGACTCAGCTCCGTCTACCTTGAAGGGATTTCTGCTGAGAACTGGGTTTG